GTCTGCATTCCCACCAGCAGTGTATTAGAGTCCCCTTTTCTCCACACCCTCGCCAACACTTGTTGTTTGATGATTTGTTGATGGCGGCCATTCTGACAGGTGTGAGGTGATACCTCATTGTTGTTTTAATTTGCATCTCTCTGATGATTAGTGATGTTGAGCATTTCTTCATATGTCTTTTGGCCATTTGTATGTCCTGTTTGGAGAGGTGTCTATTCAGCTCCTCTGCCCATTTTTTAATTGGGTTCTTTGTCTTCCTTTTGTGGAGTTGTATGAGCACTCTATATATATTGGAGATTAACCCCTTATCTGATACATCATTGGCAATGATGTTCTCCCATACAGTGGGTTGCCTTTCCATTTTGATGATTGTTTCTTTTGCTGTGCAGAAGCTTTTTAGTTTGATGTAGTCCCATGTGTTCATTTTCTCCTTTATTTCTGTTGCCTTAGGTGATGTATCAGTGAAAATTCTGCTCCGTATGATGTCTGAAATTTTGTTGCCTACATTTTCTTCTAGAATTTTTATGGATTCACGGGTCACATTTAAGTCTTTTATCCATTTTGAGTTTATTTTTGTGTATGGTGTAAGTTGATGGTCTAGTTTCATTTTTTTGCATGTAGCTGACCAATTTTTCCAACACCATTTATTAAAGAGGCTGTCTTTACTCCACTGTATGCTCTTGCCACCTTTGTCAAATATTAATTGAGCGTATTGAGCATCTTTTTATTACCTGTTGGCCATCATATGTTTTCTTTAGAAAAAAATGTCTATTCAGATCTTCTGCCCATTTTAAAAATCAGGTTGTTTATTTTTTGTATTGAGTTGTATGAGTTCTTTATATATCTTGGATATTAACTGCTTATCAGATATATTATTATTATTATTAAATATGCTTTTATTATTGATTTTAGAGAGAGAGGAAAGGAGTGGGGAGAGAGAAACATCATGTGAGAGGGTAACATTCATAGGCCGCCTCCTGCAACCTACTGGGGATCAAGCCTGCAACCCGGGCATGTGCCCTGACCAGGAATCGAACCAGTGACCTCTCAGTGCATGGGACAATGCTCAACCAACTGAGCCACACTGGCCAGGGCAGATATATTATTTATAAATATTTTCTTCTTTTCTCCCACTTAGTAGATTGCCTTTTCATTTCGTTGATAATTTCCTTTGCTGTGCAGAAACTTTTTAGTTTGATGTAGTCCCACTTGTTTATTTTTGCTTGATTGCCTTTGCTTTTGGTATCAGATCCTAAAAATCTGCAAGACTGATGTCAAGGAGCTTTCCACCCATGTATTATTTTTTAGGAGTTTAATGGTTTCAGGTCTTACATACAAGTCTTTAACCCATTTTTGAGTTGGTTTTTGTGTATGGTGTAAGATGGTGGTGTACACTTTCATTCTATTGCATGTGGCTGTTAATTTTCCCAGCACCATTCATTGAAGAGACTGTCCTTTCTTTTTTTTATCCTCACCCAAGGACATTTTTTCCATTTTTTGTTCAGACAGAGCGGGAGGGAGAGAGAGGAAGAGAGAGAGAGAGACATCGACATGAAGGGACACATCGAGTGGCTGCCACCCGCACGACCAACCAGGGCCGGGGACAAACTGCAACCGAGGCACGCGCCCTTAGCGGGAACCGAACCTGGGTCTCTCAGGACCGCAGGCCGATGCTCTAACCGCTGAGCCAAACCGGCCAGGGCGAGACTGTCCTTTCTTTATTGTATATTCATGGCTCCTTTGTCATAAATTAATTTACCATGTATACAGTAGTCTATTTCTTGGCTTTTTCTTCCCATGAGCTATGTGTTTGTTTTTATGCCATTACCATACTGTTTGGATTACTATAGCTTTCTAATATAGTTTAAATCAGGGAGATGGTGCCTCCATCTTTGTCCTGCCTCAAGGTTGATTTGTTTGGCTATTTGGGGTCTTTTGTTTTTCCAATGAAATTTTAGGATTGTTCTCTATTTCTGTGAAAAATGGCATTGAAATTTTGATTGTGGTTTTATTGAATCTATAAATTGCTTTGGGTAAGGCTTCACATTAGGAAAAAACACCTAAGTGCTGGTAATTTAATGATCAAAGATGCTTTATTTAATGTTGGATTTTTTATTATAGTCAAGAACTGGTAATATAATCATTAGCAGCAGGGATAGGCTTAAAAGAAGCACATAAAAAGAATATTATATTCCTGAGCAGATCAGGTTATGGATCCCAAGTGACAGCATAACTATTACTGATGTATAGAATTTTGACTTTTCAAAAAATGTTTGAGCAAAATCACCTGGGCTATTTGCAATATGACATTTTGATCACCAGACACAAACAGATAAACAAGGAAAGCATCTCCTGAATTTCACTATTAGGATACATAAATCAAAACAGCATATGAGACAATTCATATTTAAGCTGGAAGTTTTTTGGTCTGACTTCATGAATTTATGAATTAGAATGAGTTGTGGAAGGCAAGGAAATGCATCTTTAAAAGTGTCTGGAGCCCTGGCCGGTTTTGCTCAGTGGTTAGAGCATCAGCCCGCGGACCAGAGTTCTGGGTTCGGTTGCTGCTAAGGGCACGTACCTTGGTTGCAGTTTGTCCCGGGCCCTGGTTGGGGTTGTGTGGTTGGCAACCAGCCGATGTGTTTCTCTCACATCGATGTCTCTTTCTCTCTCTTCCCCCCTCTCTCCAAAGATAAATGCAAAAAATGTCCTTGGGTGAGGATAAAAAAAAAAAAAAAGTGTCTGGAATGGTTTCAAAGAATTGCATAAATGCATACCTGGGAAATTCCTTGGAGTGTTGTGAAGTATATGTAGGAAGGTACCTTAAATGTTGGCATAGCTTGAGAAGTCAATAATAATAGCTTTTCCCATTTATGTGAGGCTAATAATTTCTATTCACCAAAGTAGTATGTAGTCATAGATTAAAATATCAGAATGTACTGGAATAGCATTATGACCAATAACCTCTTTTTAAGGTTTATTCTTTTCTGATTTTATAAAGGTAATACTCAAGTTTTAAAGGGAAAGGTATGTGGTGGACATTTGCTATTATTTTGGCCGCTCGGCATCTGAAACCCCTTCCTATGTTAGAATTCCCTACTTTGATAGCTAGGTGGTAAAGGCTTGCTTCCCCATGCTTCTTTGTAGTTAATATGCAGACACATATGACCTGGGTGTCACCCTCTTCAGGGGTGGGGAACATCTAGCCTGCGGGCTGTACAAGGCCTGCAAAGTCAATATCAGCTAACACCACACGCCTCACCAAATTAGCCTGACCAAATATAGCAGGCTAATTTTTAAACTGATAATTTTGTATGGCCTGTGAATAATGTTATAAATATCCAAATGGCCCTTGGCAGAAAAAAGGTGCCCCGTCCCTGAACTTGCACCAGATTTTTTTTTTTTTTTTTTAATCCTCACTGGAGGATATGTTTTTATTTATTTTTAGAGAGAGAGACATCAGTGTGAGAGAGAAACATCGATTGGTTGCCTCCTGTGTACAACCCAACCGGGGATTTAACCTGAAACCTAAGTATATGCCCTGACTAGGAATTGAATCCAAAACCTTTTGGTGTATGGGACGACACTCAACTGAGCCACCCGGCCAGGGCCTCTTGTGCCAGATTTTGACTCAGGAGCTAGTTATAAAAAATAAAACAAGCAGTAAACACACAATACAATATATAGATGATGTATTGTAGAACTGTCTACATGAAGCCTATATAATCTTATTAACCAATGTTACCCAAATAAATTCAATACAAAAATAAGGTAAAATAAGACAAGCAGCAACATCCCCAAAGAAAATAAATAAATAAATAAAACAAAATCTAGAAATGATGAGGCACTTTTTTTCTCTTTGCAAGAGTCAACCATAGTGATTGTGGGAAAAAAACACTGTACACATGGCTGCCGGTGCAGAACTAGCCAGTGTTGGGAGGGGGAGGTGCACAGCTGTAGACGCTGATTCCCTGAGAACCACTTACTATTTTAAATCAACCTATCTGATTAAGAAAAAAGTAGTAACTATTCATTATGTAAAATTTAGAGAATATAGAAAAGGTCAATGTGTGTGCTTCCATATATATATATATATATGTATATTTATATATACACACACACACGTATGGGTACACAAACACATGTAGCAGTTTTTTATACAATTAGGATCAAACCATGTAGTTTTGTGCCTAATTTAATGTAGTTTTGTGCCTAATTTAATGCTGTTTTCCATGCCATTCTTTGACAGTACTTTTCTAAATAACTACCACATCATTTAACTGTTCTGCTGTTGAATATTTATAGTCTCTAATATTTTGCTGTCAAAAAGTTTCAAATAATTTTCTTGTGTACAAATCTTTGACTAGATCTCTGCTTCTTGCTTTAGGATAAATTACTACATAGCAGATTTACTAAAATTTGAACCTTTTAATGGCTCTTCATACAGTTATAAAATTCCTCTCCTGAAGTGGCTGACCCACTTTTAAATCTCTAACGGGTTCTGACTATAAATCGTTGACATAAAACTTTTCTAAAACTGGACTGCCAGACATGAAAACATTTTAAAAAATAATGAATATGGTACCTGTAATGAGAGTACACTATGTGCCTGACACAGCAATATACTTTAGAGACATTATCACGTTTACTCCTCAGTGACACTTTTCCTCGGTCCTTCCAGCCTAATCAATAAAATGGGGGAACTGGCCAAATATCTTGCTTCAGGTCACACAACTCAAAATGTAAACCCAGGAATCAAGCGTTGGTTTTCTGACTTCAAAGTTCATTTTCTTTTCCTCACATTATTGTAACCCAAGAATTTATTTTTTTGAGTTCTGAAATGAATCCTCAGGAGTAAAGAAGTATGAGTGAGTTGGAAGTAGCAGAGGAAGTAGGAAGCAGTTAAAAAGCATACTATCTTAGTTAAAAGAATTTAGAAATTGATAATGCACAGTGTTAGCAAGGTGTTTTAACCAATGAGTATTTATTAAAAGCCAGGGTGCACCAGGCACAATTCTTGTCCAGTAGGCTAACAGAAACAAATGATGTAACCAATTCACTTATTAGCTTACCTGATTAAATAAAATACATTTCATAGAAATGATTATAATATGCATTACAGACAGAAACAGAGTATCCTTTATATTACAGATCTTTCGGTACCTAAATAATTATTAAAACCAGGTAACCATATGGTAAAAGGAAGTTAGCAAACCACCAGTTATTTCTTTATTTTAGTCAGCAAAAGGAAAAAAGCATGCTATCGTCATGCGGAAATGGGTTTCAACAGTCAATATGATGTCCTTTTTCAAAAGTAACATAGTCCACCTAGAATCTTAAAAATTTGGTGCTTTTTATCCTGTATCAAATCACATTACCCTTTTTGGTGTAAAGATTAGTTTTGGTTTCAGAGTAAGCTTATTTAGTACTTCAGTCCCATGCCTCACGGATTCTTGACTTGGGGTGGGTGAGAATCAGTCCAATTAAGTATTAGTTAGAGGAACAAAACATAAATGGTTTATCTGCCTTGCTCAATATTCTTGCCAATATTCAGTCGGGAAGTTAAGATGCACAGATGATTTAAACCAGAATGTAACAGGAGAAGGAAGAAACAAAAAGGACACAATGCTGGTGTTATTTCTTTGAAGCAAGTCTGTCCGTTAGAGCTCTTTATTGCCTTTTGGAGAGTTACGGCTAATTCTTTAAAGGACCACGTCAGGTTGTTGGCACATGATATATCCCTTGGTGTGAAGGCGGGGTGTAAAGGAGGGCGGGAAGGGCTGAAAAGGCGCGTTGTGGAGTGTGTTTGCTGACACAATCATGGTGGCCACTGGACCACAGTCATTTCAAAGTGCCCACCAGGTCCTTCCAAGACCTCCCAAGACGGGTCTGTTTCCTTCAGGCAGCAGCACTGAAAACTTCCTCAGAGAGTCAAGGTCAACTTGTATTGCACAGGAACCAAAATTATTCCCCCTCCCCCTTGTCCTGAGCCGGAGACCTCCAAGTGCAAACAGGGCTGGGTGCCTCTCTGCTCGCTCCTCTGGCCAGCAGGGAGCGCTCCACGGGGCGCCTCCAGGAGCACCTTCTTCAAAGGGAAGCACGAGGTATCATGTTGGCCCGAGCGATCCGGTTGGTCAGTCACCATTCTCAAGCAACTTTTGTAAGTTGTTCTGTATCTTGAAATAATAACAGAGGAGCTCCTGTTATTACATAGAATGTAGTACATTAAGGGCATATTTGCAATGGCCTATACTACACATGGTTTACATTTGGGATGGACTAGAACTCAGTTTGACCATCCACTTTAAAAGGAAAGAAGAGAGGGCTGGGAAAGAAAGTGTCACAAAGATGGAAATGTCACAGAGACCAAGAGAGATCAGATGGAAGAAAAAGAACAGCAGCCCTGGTGATACGAGGTGTGACCCACAGTGTTCGGACACAATGGGGAGCTGGTGTTTACAAAGCCCACTGGACAAGTCTGAATCAGACAAACACTACTTGACAATGTTTAACACTCCTATTAGATATCACACAACATTTCCCAGAAGACTGAATTTCACAGGGACGGGGACCATGCCACAGCACTGGATCTCAAGACTACAGTACAGTGCTGGGCATTAAAAATGATCTTAGTAAGCCCTGGCCAGTTTGGCTCAGTGGTTAGAGTGTCGGCTCAGCAGACTAAAGAGTCACTGGTTCAATTGCAGTCAAGGGCACATTCCTTGGTTGCAGTTTGGTCCCTGGCCCTGGTTGGGGTCGTGTGGGAGATGACCAGCCAATGTGTCTCTCTCACATCAATGTCTCTCTCTCTCTCCCTGCTCCCCAACTCTATCTGAAGATAAGTGGAAAAATATCCTCAGGTGAGGATAAAAAAAAAAAAAGACCTTAATAAATGTTTGTTGAGTAAATGAGCTTTAAGGAATTCAGAGCAAGGAATTTTCAACAACCAGTATTCTGATGGGAGTAAGGAACCCTGAGGAACAGAAGCGAATATTCTTTTGGAAGAAGAACCTGTGATGTCCTACAGGCACACACAGGGCAAGTGAAGAGGGAGAATCGAACACGTCTGTGCCAGGCACTCCACGCATGCTCAACTTAACCACACACCACCACTACCACACAGAGGCAGGCCTTCCCCGTGAACTAAGGGCCTGAGAGGCTCTGGAACAAAACCACTCACACAGACAGTAAATGGCAGAGTAGGACTAAGAACAGAGGTCTGACTCCAAAATTGATGTGCTCTCTTCTGTACAGCTCCACCATAAATGCCAGTACTAAGAAAATAAGTCCTCACTTCCTTACCCATAAAAGGCACTGCCTTCATCCTCCACACTCCTACTTCCTGTCTTCCCTACCTCTCCACAGGAACAGAGGTAAAAGCAGGAGTGGGAAGACAGAAAAAGAAATGAAACCAAGGACTGATGTCCGAAATAGATAAACATACCTACAAAGTGAAAAAAATAACAAAAGCAAAACAGAGGAGATAAAAGGGAATTTATAGAAGAAAATGCAAATGGCCAATAAATATATAAAAAGATGTTCAGTCCGGCTGGTGTGGCTCAGTGGTTGAGCGTCGACCCATGCACCAAGAGGTCGCTGGTTTGATTCCCGGTCAGGGCACATGCCCAGGTTGTGGGCCCAATCCCCAGTGGGGGGCATGCAGGAGGTGGTCATTCGATGTTCTCTCTCATTGATGTTTCTATCTCTCTCTTCCTCTCCCTTATTCTCTCTCTAAAAATTAATAAAAGAAAAATATTAAAAAAAGATGTTCAACTGTGATAGTCATCAGGAAAATGCAAATAAAAGCCATAAAGAGGTCTGGACACCCACTGCTAGACTGGTAGCAGGGACCAGAATGGACAAAGACGGTGGCCCCGGGAAGAGACTCTGAGGAGACACTGGCAGACAGACTGCATAGGACTTCTCAACTAACTAGTCAACTAGTGGCAAGTGAAAGAGAGGAGGGGGAGTCAAAAGTTATTCTTAGATTTCCAATGAGAATGACTGAAGGGGACAGGCTGCCATGAACAGAAATCAGGAAGTGGCCAGCAGGGCAGACCAGGAGGGTGGGCACGAGCAGCCCCTGGAGGACAGGAGAAAGGGTTGGCTGCTGCGGAGTGAGATGAGGGACACATGGCTCCTGTGTCTCCACCTGCTGCACACTTAGCTGCAGGTTCCCGCCGGGCTGCGCTGCACTAGGCAGACCGATAGAAAGAACGGGGGGGTGTGCCCAGCCGGTGTGGCTCAGTGGTTGAGCATCGACCCATGCACCAAGAGGTTGCCATTTCGATTCCCAGTCAGGGCACGTGCCCAGGTTGTGGGCTAAATCCCAAACTGAGGGACATGCAGGAGGCGGCCAGTTGATGTTCTCTCTCATCGATGTTTCTCTCTCTCCCCTCCCTTCCTCTCTCTCGAAAATCAATAAGGAAAAAAAATTTAAAAAAAAAAAAAAAGAATGTGGGTGTGGCCTGGTAACTTCTGCTTCAATTCCTTTGAGCCTGGTGTGCAATTTAGAACTTTTTGGAACGTCAACCTATGCATTCTGACTCTATACCCAATTTGACTGCTTCTGCTTTGGGACAAAGGTTTCTGTTGGTACCACAGGCCTCTTAGCTGAGTAGCTGGGCTCTATCTGAGCTCTTGTTTCTCTGTCCCTCAATGTGGGGCCCCAGCCAGACCTGGCAGGAAAATGGGAAGAAATGTAGGAGAGGGCACCAGGATTCTGTGTGCTTCTGGTCCAAAGAATACTGGTGTATGCCAGAGTGAGCAAAATAGAAAATTAAAATTAGCCCATTCACTTGGTCAGCCTGGAAGCCAAACATTGGTAAACATTTCATTATGAAAAAAATTATCTTTACTTCTCAGCAACTATGCTCTAGAAAGGCAAACAATTCTGGTTGCTACCCTATACCTTCTCTAGGTTGATGTTGATTTAAAAGAGAAAAAAGTTTCAAGTCCGCCCATAGATGAAATGATTCGACAGGAATTATCTGGCATGCCTTGGTTTAAGAACAGAAGTTTGAAAACACGTTTGCTCTCAATCCTTCAGAGGTGAAATACTAGATAGCAGTTAGTACAGCAATACAAACAGGGTATGACTCATTTGTATTTCATGTTTCTTCCCCACTAAGCGTAACTGCGTGATTATGGAAAGCTACTGGGCACTTGTGGGTTTGAACTGGACACTTAACTCTAACCCTCTCCTTAAGGACTAGAGTAAACACAAAGTTTTAGATGGGAAGGGATAAACATGTTGAAAGGAGTAAGTAATGTTAATTAGGTTTCACTTTGGGGTATTTCTGGGGTGCCTACCTTTTTCTCCTGTTCACTCTCCTACTGAGTTCTAAGAATGCCACAAGCGCTGAGGACAGGTCTGCCCTAAAGTTGCCTTATAAGGAGATACCTGTAGAAGTACAGGTACATCAGTGGCCTTATCAGCAAAGACAAAGGTTGGATTCTGGGGGGCATCCAAGCACAACTTTGAAGTCACACAGACCTGCTTCAAATTCTAGGTCTGTCAACTTTCTAGATGTGTCTCCTTGACAAGTTTATAGAAGCTCAGATTCTTCCTCTGTCAGATAAGAACGATATCCGCCCCCCAGGGTTACAAGCGGGGATGAATGCATTATTTTGTGGATAGCGACAATCGGCTTGGGTGGAGGTGGGGCTGCACTCCCAGGTTGGGACACGCCTTAATGTGTCCCTCCCCTGAGCCCGGTGTCACAGGTCTCTTGCCACTGGGCTCAGTGACACAGGAAATATTTCTAACCAAGGAGGAAAACCAGAAGACAGACCAACAAGCAAAATGAGATCGAAACTTATTTCTTGGTGGAAATAAAAAATAAGTCTTTCACCTTTACCTTGGAACCCCTTGGCTGGGTTTGGTCATTTAGGCTGCCTGCTGCACCCTGTAAGTGTTTTAATGTGTAACCACTGATCTGTGGCAATCGACAGGCACTACCACGACTGCCCCCGACACAGGAAAATTGGTCACCTTTTCTAGTTTCATTATGTTAGCTGTAAGCTCCCGGCAGAGGACCTCCACGTTTAATTGTACTTGTGACCCTAGGCCGGGTGGCGCTGCTTGCCTGCAAGAACAAAGAGAAGAATTACTGTGGGCAGGAATGGCAAAGAAAGAAGCCGAATAAACACATCTGAAATGTATCTGTACAGAACACTAGGTTGTAATAAAAGAGAGGGAGCATTTAACTTGTTAACCTCAGAAAGGCCCGGCAGTAATCCAGGACTCCAGACTCGATGTTTGGGGACTAATTCTTAATAGCTCAGCTGGAAATCTCTTCAGCTATTTTTGTTTAAGTGGCTGTGTTGTGTGTGCCTTGGCTCCCAAACAATCAGACAATTGCTCTCAAGCACGTGGTTTCTTAAACCCCTTTTATTAGCCTCCAATATCCTCTCCCCCCCACAACAGCATACATTTGCAAGAACGATTGCTGTTCTCAGTCACAGATGGATTCTTTGTGGGAGCAGGAACTTTTTACCCAGAACTTGCAGAATGTTCAGGACTGCCTTTCATTACTTTCTGTTGAAGTGTGAGACTTCTGTAGTTCTTTGAGACTTGCCATACAAATGTAATTTGTCCTTGTCTTATAATCTATCAAATGTATTCATTATTTACCATGAGACTATGTCTGGCATGAGCTTGTTTTTACTGTGGGACCCACCGGGGTCCTATACCAGCTAAAACTGTAGGACTTTAGAGATGAATGTACAATTTTCCTGGAGAGATGGTCTAAAGCTCTTCATCAGATCTTTATGTTAATGTGAAGAACCACTATCTGTATGTTCTCTGCAATTCTTCTTGTAATTTATTTGCAGCCATTAAGTTTTCTGGGGGTAATGACTGCTCTAATTTATTTTACGTGTGATCTGTTTTTGAGATATAGGCACTTGGTAAATTATTGATGGTTATCTAAATGTTAAGAAAGCAATCAGATGTTTTTCATTTACTAGTACTGAAACAGTTTTTTTTATCATTGACCCATACTATGAAAATCTTGGACCACACCCCCCCCCCCCCCCAAGGAAACTGAATCTAAATCTTTCAGTTTCTAGATGGGGGATCTGAGACCCACAGTGCAGATTTATCAACATGAAATTCTGACAGTCCCGAGGCTGTCAGTGTAGTAACAAAGCTGGTACAAAGTACGGATTTAAAAGGATGGCTCTGTAGCAACTAAACAATCCATGAGGCGGGTGGACATAGCGACCTGGGCAGGGTGGCTGGATTAATTACCCTGGAGGTAGGAAGGTACTGGGGAAGCTCAGGTCCTGTATAAGTACTTTAGTCACAGTCCTTTCCATCATGAGTGTATCCTTGATCTCATGTCATATATGCTCTTTGTGAATTTTTCCTTTGAATGATTATTTTTCAGATGGTACTTCCTGAGTTGATTATTTAAATAGTAGAAGAAATTTCATTTGCCTTTGTTGGTGGAATTTCCCTCTCATCACCACCAAGTTAACTGAATGCTAACAGGCCTTGGTGTACATTTTCTTAGAATAATCAAACCCTTATGTGACAGTGAACAGAACAGTCTGCCGTAATCTAGAGTCACCTCCTAATTCTAAGTGTAAAACCTTTTGAACAAGAGGGGAGAGAGTATGGGCAGGGAATGAATTTATTCCAAACCACCCTTTAGACTTCTGTGTTCCTGGTTCAAACATATATTTATAGTTCAAAAATAACCTCTATGCCAGCATTCTAGTAAGCCACAGAGTAAGACTTTTAGTTAACTGTTAGAGCATAAAGAAAGGCCCTCACAGGATATAGCATAATAGTTCTCAAAGTGTAGACCACATCAACGTTACCTGGGAACTCGAGAGAAACAAATTCTCAGGCCGGATCTCAGATGCATGTATCAGAACCTTTGGGGACAGGCCCTGTAAGCTGTTCTAACAAGCCCTCTAGAAGATGCTGAAGCACACTGAAAATAGCCTAACCCAGTTCTAGGCTGTTTCTCACAACCAAGGAACCCCTGGTGGACTGGGCAGCCTATGATCTTTGTAGTCACACAGACCCACATTTGAACCCCGATTCCATTTCAAACTGTAAGACATGAAGCTAATTATTCCTCTGAGTCTCAGTTACCTCATCTGCAAGATGGGAGGAATGGTTACCTTATGAGGTATAGTGAGAGAAAATTGTATTTGTTTACGTGTCCATTAAAATAGAATCAATAGCACATTGTATGTACTCTGGAAACTTGACACTTAGAAAACTTGTGCTGAAAGTTATGTTTTCTAACATGGAATAACTTTTTATTTTACTTTTTAGGCAGTATGTCAAAATCCTTATGGAAATGGGTTTAAAGCAAAGGGCTCTATGTCTGAATAGGCTTCATTAGGTCAGGCCTGTCAAAATGACTGTGATGGAAACATTTTACAGACACAGTTGACCCATTACTAGTGTAACTTAACAGCGACCAAAAGTTCTGTAAATAAATGGGCCAATAAAGAGTTACAGGTGATAAAATGTGCCAAATCTTGAATTGCCTTTCTCCTATGAATGTCTTGACTCCCTGCCATTTTACTAAGATAAACTTCTATATTTCAATAAATGGGCCAAGGTCACATAACTGAGTCTTAGGATAACAAGATAATGTAAAATTAGACTTGTTTCTTGCCTCATCACTGGCAACATTATAGCAACTCAAGAACATGCACAATCAGGTCATTCATTTCTAGGACCTTCCCACCTCTTCCCATATGTACACTTTAAATGTCACATACAAAATGTATCCTTAATTAATATTTGCTAGGAAGGTTGCTAAGCTCAGGGCAAACATTATATTAATCTGAATAGCAAGCAGATGATAGCACAGGAGGGAAATGTCTTACTCAGTATGAAGGGTATCCATAACGGAGGTCAGTAACCCCAGCTGCTCCTCCAGAGTATTAATTCTATATCTCATGTAGAAGGTCGAGATGATTAATGCGCAGACACTAGAAAGGGATAGAAGAGAAATCTCAGTGGTCAATGGCCAGGCCCTGACGTTCGTAAAATAACAAACTCAGAGCCAATGTGCATTCGAGGTGAGGTATTTTCTAAAACGACTTGGACAAAGAGATTTTTTAAAAAGATCTTTATTCAACAGGCTGATGCTTGTCACAAAACTCTAGAGCTAACAGGGGATTTAAAATTTGTTAGCCCAAGTTCCTCAATTTACAAGATATTCTAGTAGGGTGTCCTGGGGCCATACACATGGCACTGTCTCCCTCACTAGAAGGGCCCAGCCTCATTCTCTGGTGACTCACAAATTCCCTAATTTATCTGGAAACTAAACTGGGCACATCCTTCTTGGTCTTGAGAAACAGCCTAGAACTGGGTCAGGCTATTTTCAGAAGAACAACTGATTAAAGACTGGAAGTGAGGGGAAGTTAAAAAAAATCCACGCCTAAGTTTTCAATAAAGGGGATGACATTTAAAGTAGGTTTGGCCTCTATCCAGAGAATAGGGATTGAGTGGGAAATAAATAATAAGGACAAAGATGCTCCATTGTAATTTCCCAACTAATGGTATCCACTCAGAACTTAGTCCTCGCATGGATTCGGCATGATCATTTTGCTTTTCCTTCCTCCTTTCTCATTATTTAAATGAGAAGGGGATGAACAGGAAAATGTGACCAAAAGCCTAAGGAACAAAACAGCAATGTTGAAGTAGGAGACAAAAATTGTTGAAGAAAACATTTGGGTCACATTAGCCACAAATGAGATTTATAATGGCTCTTGGCAACATAAAAAGGTTATTCCTTTAAACAACTGAATCATTTTCTTTTTTTTTTTTTTTTTTTAATCCTCACCTGAGGATATTTTTCCATTTTTTGTACAGATAGAGTGGGAGGGAGAGAGAGGAAGGGAGAGACAGACAGAAACATCGACGTGAAGGGACACATCGAGTGGCTGCCACCCGCACGACCAACCAGGGCCGGGGACAAACTGCAACCGAAGTACGTGCCCTTAGCGGGAACCGAACCCGGGTCTCTCCAGACCGCAGGCCGATGCTCTAACCGCTGAGCCAAACTGGCCAGGGCCTGAATCATTTTCTTATGTCACTTTTTGTAAGTTCATTTACTTACACAATTGCGTAGAAGATAAGAATATGGCGAAGAGTTGGACATTTCTGGGACTTGACTTTGTGTAAGATTCCAGTGGATTCTGATTGACCAACGGCTGGGTGGAAAACCAAGAGGGACAGTTTTAAAAGACGTCATCCAGCAATATTACTAAGGAGAGAGGTACTTGGAAGAGATAACTATTCCCAACTAAGAGAAATCACAGAAATACTAAGTGAAGCCTTCCAGGTGTCATTTTAAGCAGTAGTTACAATTCCTCCCACACGTTTTATCAGTCCATGTTTCCTGAGAGCCTTCTCTGTGTCAAGCATTGTGTTGGAGTGAACGGTGAACCTGACAGATATCATCCTCGTTCTCATACCAGTACAACTGGTAACCAGTTATTAGAGTAATCAGTAAATAAGTAATAACTCAATAATTTGCATTTTAATAGCATTTTTTGAATCACAATCTCAAAGTATTCAGAATAATGGAGGGGCCTCCATGAAGGCTATTCACCTTTATTTTTATTAAAAAAAATTTTTTTTTTCTTTTTTGATTTTAGAGAGAAAGGAAGGAAGAGGGAGAGGAGAGAGAGAGAGAAACATCGATGAGAACATCGATTGGCCGCCTCCTGCATGCCCCTCACCGGAGATCAGGCCCACAACCCAGGCATGTGCCCTGAACGGGAATCGAACTGGCAACCTCTTGGTGCATGGGTCGACGCTCAACCACTGGGCCACACTAGCCGGGCAAGGCTATTCACCTTTGTATCCCCCATAGTAAACCAGAGGACTGAGTAATATTTGTTTAATGAATAAATGCGTTAATATGCAAAGAGTTAAAAAAGAAAAAAAGGAGGGAATATGAAAGGCAGTCCAAAATGAAGCATGAGGGCCCTTTAAAAGTTACCAGCAGACCCCTCCCCTGGCTCCCCCATAATCCGTTCCTTACCATGTGCAGGGAGACTCTTGGCTTTTCCTTCAGGTACTCTGTTCACATGGGCATCTGCCCTTGTTGGTTTTGCTTCTCCCTTGGAGACTTTTAGAACTGTCTGGGATTCTGTCACATGGAAATCTATCAGGCCAAAACGGGGCTGGGTGAGTTCTTCCCTCAAAACATGTAAAACGTAGTATCAACCACAAAAGCAAATCAAGCTCTCAACATGCATAATGACCAAGATCAATGGGTCTTCTCATAGTTGGCTGAGTGGTTGGGGATTGAAATCTAATGATCAAACAAACAGGTAATAAAATGATGTAAGGGCAGTCTGTCTTTGCCTCACTGGCTCATGGGGACGATTCAGCTGTAACAATAATATTATTAAAGAGGGAGGGGAACATTATATGTTTCTTTCTTTCAAGCAACCTAATATTATGTTGATTTATGAGACATTTATTAAATATGTATAAATGGGAATGGAATTTTACCACATAGGCAATTCCATTTTCTGAAACTTGCAAACCACCCTTTCCCCAGATTCCTGTTTCAATTCTTAACTAGGAAAACAAGGGTTGTGTGTATATGTGTGTATGTGTGTGTGGTTGGTTGGTTTTGTTTTTAAGGGGTGGGATGAAGATATTTTGTGGAGAATTAACTTTTAGCCAAGATACAGAAATTGCCCAGACCTCGCGAGTTCTCGGATTCGGGAGTCTGAGAACCAGAACTGCTGTACCCTTCCATGTCTTGCCGTCTTTGCTGAACCACTCCATCCAGATCTGAGAATTCATCGTTGAAATCCTGGAGGGAAATAATGAAATGAGGAGAGGCTACTTCCCCTCACTAAAAGGGCAGTTCCTTGTGACCCCCGGCCTTGACTTAGGCCTGACCTATAAAATGTGGAAAAGAAGAAAGGATTACCCGCGACTACTGGGATCTTCCCAGCAGGTCACTGAGTACCTGGTTACTGAATCTATCAACAAACAGTGGCCAGCTTGTTGGAAACCACAAATGTCCAGAACACAAACAATCTGAAATGCCGACGCTTGAAATGCTTCTCATCAGAAGCTTCCATTAGCACTATGGAATGAGAAAAGTGACCAAAATAGACATATCTGAGAGAAAAAAGTAAGACAGAAGGATCTAAATGCATGTTTGAATGTGCAGACACAGAGAAAGGTGTTCTTCCATTAGTTAAAAAAAAAAGGTGTTGGAAACAGATAAGGGAAAATGGCTCTAACAATTAAGACCCCAAAAGGAAAACTTCAGCTCTTTTTCTTCCCTCCTCTAAATCAAAACAGGGTCAGTGTTGTCACCTTTACATCACAGAAGGATGGCAGAGGAGAGAGGAGTAGGGGAAAGAGCAGGAACATGTTCCTTTGAACCCCCTCATTCCCCCAAAGTGCTTCAGCACCAGAGACGAGCTGTCATTGAAACACCCCATGAAGGTGCAGTGTTGGGCGGAGCCCTCCGTCCAGTTAGCTGTCAAATGGAGAGACTCGCCTTGTAAGCAAATGACTAACCTTTTACCTTCAACTAGCTATGTTTTGGTCATTTCAACATTCATTTCAATTTTGTGCAAGATTTTTAGAGGGAAAGAAAATGGAAAAAATTCAAGTCTCTTCAATTTAATAATTATTTATCAACTGCCTGTCATGTGTCAGGCAGTAGGCAGAGCTTACACACACGATGCACTTCACCTCCCCGGCCACATCGTGAGGTTAGCATTGTACTAGATGAAGAAACAGAGCAGTCGGAGCCTGTTCGATGGCATGGCTCAGCTGGGCGGAACCCAGCTCTGAAATCAGGATCGTCGGATTCCAAATCGTCTGTGTTTAATTCTGTTTTGTACTTCTTCCCACTATTTTTAAAAAGTTTTATAAAAGTTTTTCTTTTTTTTTTTAATTGGGATAAAATTCACAACATAATAACTCACCATTTCAAGTGTACAATTTGGTCACTTATAGAGTATTTACAATGTTGTGTAACCATGACCACTATCTTATTTCAGAACATTTCCATCACCCCCCAAAAGAAATCTTTACCCACTAGCAGTCATTCCCATTTTTTCTCCCGCCTACATCCCTTGGCAACCACTAATCACATTTCCGTCTGTATGGGTTTGCCTATTTGCAACATTTTATATAAATGGAATAATCATACAATATTGTAGTCTTTTGTGTCTGCCTTTTTTAACTTAGCATAATGTTTTCAAGGTTCACCCACATTGTACTGTGTAACAGTAATTATTCATTCCTTTTTAGGAAAATAATATTCCATTGTGTGGACAGATTGCATTTTATTTATCTATTCATCAACTGATGGACATTAGGGTTGTTTCCATTTTTTGGCTATTATGAATAATAGCTATGATCATTCTTGTTCAAGTTTTTGTGCAAATATATTTTAAACCCCACTACTTTTTTTTAACAGCTCTCAAGAAAAAAAAAGATCTGTAGATGCTGAAACCATGGGCTCATACCACTTCATCAAAGGTATTTCAACATTTATAACAATAATCAATTTGGGGCCCTGGCCAGTGTGGCTCAGCTGGTTGGGTGTCGTCCATGCACTGAAGGGTTGCCGGTTTGATTCCCGGTCAGGGCACATGCCAGGTTGCAGGCTCCATCCCCAGTGCGGGGGCATGCAGGAGGCAGCTGATCAATGTTTGTTTCTCCCTCACATTGATGTTTCTCTCTCTTTCTCCCTTTCCCTTCCTCTCTCTCTAAAAATCATAAAAACAACTTTAAAAAATCAATTTGGGCCAGGCCGGTGTGGCTCAGTGGTTGAGCGTTGACCCATGCACTAAGAGGTCGCTAGTTCGATTCCCAGTCGGGGCATATGCCCAGGTTGTGGGCCTGGTCCCCAGTGGGGGGCATGCAGGAGGCAGCCAATCAATGTTCTCTCTCATTGATGTTTCCATCTCTCTCTCCCTCTCTCTTCCTCTGTCTCTCTAATAAATCAATAAAAAAAAATCAATTTGGGAATACTCATTTGAATCATATGGCTAGGACTCTTTCTGGGCCAACTTATACCATCATAGGTATACATCCTGTACAAATGGGGGGTTACTCCCCACTGGAAGTTTACTGTCTACCAAGTCTAAAGAAATCAAAGAATCTCTACCTCTCACTTGGGCATTGCAGATTTCTTTTTTTAGTTACTTCTATGTATTCCTCATCTTCTCCACTAAGCTGTCAAGTCTTTGAAGGCAAGAACTAGTCTAGATTTCTCCTGATGTCCTTATAGCATACTCGAACACAGAGCCTTGAACACAGAACACAGAACCACTTGTGGGATGAATCATGCTCTGCCCCACATAGATTGGTGAATCTCTACAACAGCACTGACAAGCAAACACAGCAAGACGTAATGAACACCTCTGGTGAGCAGTAGCCCTCAAGGCAGCCCACTATCCTGTTTCTCTTCCCTTGGAGGGCCACCCCTCAATTACTTGAAAAAAGTTTATGACATCCTTTGGTCCTCCACTTACTTCTTCAGGACAGAAATGCCCTGTTTCTTCAACTTGCCTCAAATGTTACGGTCCCAAGTTCCTCCTGAACCCTGGTCATGGTGTAAGGAGAAGTGTAGCTGTGGGATATATTCCCTTTCTTTTGCATTTAGATAGTTATGTAGGCAACTCACCAGAGGCAGAGATGAAGGGCGGTCTGCCCGGAAACTGTTTTCAAGAGAAGACGGATTGGGACTGTTCCCGACGCTTATATTCTGAAATTATTGAAACAAAATGAAACTCCAGATTAATTACGAAACCACAAGGAACAGAGAAGACAGACAGCAACTGAGGCTCAGCAAAGTCGTACTCACTTCTAAGTGTCCACAAACAGATTTTAGTAGTTTATAAGTTGAGTCTCTGGAGAGGAAGGAGACAAATATGTACTGAAAAACAAAACAGAGTAATTAATAACATATGGCCAGACGAGAAATGAGTCTTCAGAGTTCAAAAATTTATTTGTATATATTTTTTCATTTTAAATGATGCAGACCATTCTCTGGTCTATATTCTCATTCTGCTCACTCACACATTCAGTTTTTTAAAAATATTTTTTTATTGACTTTTTAGAGAAGAAGTGTGTGTGTGGGGGGGGACAGAAATATCAGTGAGAGAGAAACATGGCTCGGCGGCCTCCTGCATGCCCCATACTGGGGATCGAGCCTGAAACCTGGGCATGTGCCCTGACCGGGAATCAAACAGGTGACTTTTCGGTGCATGGGACGATGCTCAATTCACTGAGCCACACCAGCCAGGCTCACATATACAGTTTTTATTCCATTCCTGGACTAAAGAAAATATACTCTTGCCCTGGCCAGTTTGGCTCAGTGCTTAGAGTGTCAGCCTGCGGACCAGAGAGACCCCGGTTCGGTTCCCACTAAGGGCATGTGCCTCGGTTGCAGTTTGTCCTCGGCCATGGTTGGGGTCATGTGGGTGGTAACCAGTCAATGTGTCTCTCTCACATCGATGTTTCTCTCTCTCTCTTCCTCCCTCTCTCCCTCCTGCTCTATCTAAAGATAAATGCAAAAATGTTCTCAGGTGAGGATAAAGAAAAAGAAAGAAAGAAAAAAAATATACTCTCCAACAACAGCAACAAAACTCCCAAACCCAATTTAAGTAATAAACAAACAGAGAGAAAAAGGAAGGCTCCCATACCCTGATAAAGGTACCACAAATAAGCACAAGTAGGAAAAGAACTGGACATTAAAAAAAAGATTAGTGATATTCACTGGATCCTTTTTTAAGTCTCTAAGTCTCTCACCCCCCCCCCTTTTTTTTTTGAAGGTATTTAGCAATTCCTGAAGGTCTGCTTTCTCTGCCCTGACCTAGCTTTCCAATGAAAATTTCCCAGGGGCTCAGATGGGCTCGTTCCTTTTCAAACCACTTCGAGATCCTGCCTTGTACAAATATGGAGATTTCTGTAGTCGATGCTTATAAGTGAGTTATGGGAAAGTAGTAAAATCAGAAGTAGACGAGTAATTTGGAGACCAATGACAAAAGGAAAAATGATTTTACCCTTAATAGTACATTGAGAAAACCTTAAAACTGACCCTTTCTCCATCTATCTGAGCCATGGAATCTTCCCAGGCTTGCTTTCCCAAGTTAGTGATTACCTCTCTCATTCACCCATGGAAGAATTTGGTACAGTTTCCAATACAATAAAGTACTGTATCCCAAAGTGGTTAACATTATGGGTTCTGGCATTAGACAGGATACAGTTGCAAATTTTGGCTCTGACACTAAGTAGGCAACACTGGGAGACTGCTTACTTAAGGCCTCTTAGCCTCCGTCTCTTAACAACACCTGCCCCTTGCAGGGGTGGGGACCGCCCGACGGGCCGAGTACCATCTAACATCACCACCTCACCAAAGAGAAGCAGTGCAGCCATCATGTTGGGGGTGAGTTAATTCAGTGTTTGACCAAATACAGCAGGCTAATTTTTAAGTTGATAATTCTGTATGGCCCGCAAATGATGTTATGAATAGTTATAAATATCCAAATGGCCCTTGGCAGAAAAAAGGTCCCCCACCCCTGCCTTAGAGGGTGGAAGTGTGGAATAAATGTGAAAACATAAGGAAAGTATTTAGCATATGCCTGGCGAGAAATTCCTGATGTTTATTCGCCATTAGCGTATCTAAAAAAATTTTCAAAAACAGATATTAACATATTTCCTAGCTCATCTGCATAACCTCTTTTATCTTCATCTGTCCAGTATGGTAAAAAAATGACATGTGCCTTTTATGCTTCCATAGAAATCGGCAAAATATCAGAAAATAATTTCAAGTGAAATATGGGTAACCAAAATATTCCACTCCCTCTCTCTTCCCCAGCTAAAAGAACACCTCTCAGTACAGATATGTCTGGTCGCACGTGTCTGTGGTAGCCCGACAGTCGACACCAGCTGGAGAATTCCCACAGGAAGTGGGATAGTTAAGGCAACCTGGAGGCAAAGCGGCCGGGAACTGGCCCGAAGCTGCAGGTGCGTGGCAAGCGCATGTTTTATGCATTTGGGATGCCTTTGGAGAGGTCCCACTGAGGCTATGGGGCGGCTGGCCACGCCTCCCTCCGGGACTCCTTGGTGTCACCTGCCTCAGACTGCCAAGAAGGTGGTGATGGTTGTTGTTTTAAATCGCAGGAAAGAAATGGAACATCAGGTTAGCCTGACCTAACAGATATTAGGGAAAGGGGTTGGGAAAGAATTATATTTTTTCTGACCTTGGTCGAGCAAATATAATTAAGTCAGCAGGAAATTAAAAGTTGTCAACAATTGTATTAGAAGAGTTGTCCTGTGAGGGGAAAAACACTACCTGAATGTCCGAAGGCTAGGAATTTACAACTTAGTCTTACGTATATTTCCTGATTCCCTGTGGGAGATAATGACATTTGTGGTCCAAGGTCTTGGTCCTGGCAGGAGGCCCCAGGGCAGTTGAGATCGGAGCAGGACGGACAAGGTGCCCGTGCTCTGTTGGTACTCACCCTGTCTGTGACTGTCGCTATAATCAGGGCATTTGGCACCAGCAGGGCAGTTTTGGTTTTCTTTATTAGGGTTACAGAGAAGGCCGGAATAGAGATCTGAAACAGAATCACCGAGTTAACATACTGGCTGACTTCACGGAACACTTCAAATCTTCCTGTTCAAGGAAAAAAGTAAACAAACCGATAACAAAGAAACCAAAACCAGCAGGCTCTCCGGGATCCATGAAAAAATGCCCTTCTTAGCCCTGGCCAGTTGGGCTCAGCAGTCAGAACGTCAGCTCATGGACCAGAGTTGCAGGTTCGATTCTGGTCAAGGGCATGTGCCTCGGTTGAGGTTCGATCCCCGTCCCAATCCCTGGAGTCGTGCGGGAGGCAACCAATCGATGTGTCTCTCTCACTCTCTCTCTCCCCCTCTCCCACTCTATCTGAAGATAAATGGAAAAATATCCTTGGGTGAGGATTAAAAAAAAGCTTCTTACTCATAATCACAAATCAGAATGCTTGAAAACTCACTGAGGTCACGCACACCCAAGACGGTGTTTCTTACTCCTTACTCTGGTGGCCTGAACGTGACAGCCCAGCTCACAGGGAAGGAATGTCAATGGGATGCAATTATCTTTTCCCTTCTTATGCCGCCCCCATCCCAAGGTCCTTGTGGTAAAAGGCGGCGCCTTGGGAAACCACCAGTTCCTTCAGGCGAGTCTCCTTAGTGGCTCAGTGTGTCATGGCCTCTGCTCCCCCACATCGGTATTTAATGGGAATGGAAAGGTGTCAGGCAGCATCCACTGGGGACTGGGGCCCTATGACTCCCTCAGACTCAGTCTTCAATGCTGCAGTTCCTGCTCCTTTGTGCTGGGGATGGTACAGAGTGAACTCTAATAAGTAGCTTATGGAGAGGCCCGTTCTTCTAGACATCTTTGATAGTTAACTGATACGAACACACAACAAAATCAGTATCTCTTACAATGGTTTTAGGTTTGCTGTGCATCTTTGAAATGGATTATGGACCCCTTTTTATATGAACGTTGGGAGTTCTCGGGGACACCTGCCTGGGCGGGTCCAGGGCAGGGAGAGGTGTGTCATCCAGAGGCACCCAGAACCCCTGCTGTTTGGAAGCACCATAAAAGAGGCTCTAAGTAAGGGCATAATAATGGCACAAATATTTACAAGTATTGCTACATTTAAAACAATTCATATTCACAAATATAATAAGGTACAGGGTTAGCTTTCTTTCCAAAAAATTATACAAACCCTGGTGTCTTTTCCAAAGACCTTGGAATGAAAACAAATCCAGTTTTCTGATACAAACAGCTTCCCTTGGTACAAAAGTTCTTTCTGTAGAGCACAGGTAAAACCTGAGAAAACACACACAGGTATTATATTCTTTAGAATTTACATGTACAATGAGAATTCTGTATAGATGCTGGTGACTCAGGCATGGGCAGAGACAATACACTCACATACTCAAAAGGTTTATCAGCTTCTTTCAATCATCTTTAGTGCAATAAAAGTATGGAGATGAGAGTTATTTTTTCATTCAAAGTCTTACAAATTTTAGTCTGAAAATCAAAATGGAGGGGCAAATCTATCTCTATCTCTACAAATGAGGTTCAAGAGGGTGTTTCAAACATCTCCTCTAGGTGGGAAGGTGTGTCACCTTTGTGCTAATGTAAACACTCTGGCTCCTCCTTCCCCAGGACTGTCACCAATGACTCCTTTTGAAATAGATGGTCTAACCGCAGGAAGAGCGCATGACCCACACCTTCCTGTTTGGAGCTTGTGGCTGGAACCCAGCGTCTTGCCTTACTTAACACTGTATACGGAGAGGCTAGAATGGAACACTGGGCCCTGATGAGCCACAACAGACACAGGTGCTTGACTGGCCTCCTGAGCAAGGTGCTCAGATGTGATCACTGCACCCTGCACAGTGCAGGTATCAATGCATGTCTGTCCACCTGCATCTGTGTTTCTTTTTAGCCTTCTTTTAGTGGCCTCTCTTGCTCCAGTCTTGTTATCCCAAATCTCAGGACAATCCAAACACAATGCATGTCAGCAGTCAATATGAAGGGGAGGACATCATTCTGGAATCATACTGGATCAGTTCCATATCATGTAGAGAGGTCCCACTGCCCATCTGACTTTCTTGTGTCTGAAGGTACTTGGTGAGAGCCGACTGGACGAAGCTGACATTGTTGGGGCATCATGATTTTCAGAAACCGATCATCCTGGGTGATTCAGTCCCCAACCCTCTTTCTCCCCTCAAAACCAATTAGCATCTTTGCAAATATGTAGCTTAGAAAGTCAAACAGGTCAGAACTTACTTTGCCGCAACGGTTCTTCAGTTGGGACATCAAGAAACAGCTTGTGAAAGTGCATGTTCGCCTTGCACTGCAGAGCGGACAAGAGAGAGATGGCCCCGCTCTCAGTTAGATGGCAGGATACACCTCCCTTCCCTTTTTGTAGCATCACCCTGCGTTCCATCTCTCTGATCTTAGCCTCCAACACGACCCCTCAGTGCAAAACAGTGGAAGACAGGGCACCAAGTTTCCAGTTCCAACCAGACTAGTGAGTGACCTGCTGGCTGCACAGACAGCGATCATCCGATGCAGCTGGGGGTCAGCCTTCTGCCCAGGAGCTAAAGATGTCCCACCCAAGAAAAGAGGAGGCATTCTAAGGAACCTCACTAGGGAAGGGAGGTGATCCCAGGGCACTAAAGATACTAGTGACTGCTCTCATAAGAGGATGGTGGTTAAAATCTTTCTAGTCACATCAACCTGAGTTTAAGTCTTGGCTACACCTCTTCTGTGGCATGTGACTGTGGTCTAGCCACTTAGCCTCTTTTGGCCTCAGTCTCCTCTTCTGCATCAGAGGACCAAAACAGTACTTGCACCCGGCCAGTGTGACTCCGTGGTTGAGCATTGACCCATGCACCAAGAGGTTGCTGGTTTGATTCCCGGTCAGGGCACGTGCCCAGGTTGTGGGCCCGATCCCCAGTGGAGGGCATGCAGGAGATGGCCAGTCGATGTTCTCTCTCATCGATTTTTCTGTCTCTCTCCCTCTCTCCCTTCCTCTCTCTAAAAATAAATAAAGTTATTAAAAAAAAACCCACAAAAATAGTACTTGCCTCAGTGGGGTGCCATTAAGCTCAAATGGGACAAGACAGCTAAAGGACCTACTGCCTGGTATTGTCACCAATACTATTATTGTTGTGAAGGCATTTCCTTAGCCAGTGTCAGGGGGAGATGACTGTCAAGACAAGTAGGATTTATTTCTCTCGAGGGAGGCAAAAGGCCCAAGAGTCTGGAATGCTGAAAATCATGTCATTTTCAAGGCATCTATTCCCACCACTGTGACCACAGCGTACAGACTGCACTGGGCATTGTGCAGAATGCGCTCACATGCCACCCCCGCCATAACCGGGAACTGCCGTCCACATCACACGGGTCAGGACACTGTGCCTCAAAGGTACTGAGTTAACGGGAACCACAGCTACTCAAGGTAGAGCTGGGTCCTCCTTCTATAGGACCACTCTGCCTGATCAGTGCTTTTGATAAAAAAGTCTTAGGAGAAAAATAGAGAGAGATACTACACTTAGGTCCTTGATGTTTTATTATCTAAACTAGGTGTGGTCTCAACGGCAAAAACGGCCCTAGTGTTGCTGTAAAGAAGAGCTCCCAACAGGCCTTGCAGATGACAGATGGTCCCCCAAGAGTTAGCTGCTTGACAGATCAACACCTCGTGTAAAGTAGGGCTACCTCACGGTGCCTCCTAGGGAGCCACCTGCACCCAGGGCAGTGCCTTGATTAAAGCGAGGTGTCGAAGGCTTTTACTGACACTGTATTTTCAGTGGCTACAGTCAAACTGGTTGCCCACTGGACTTACAGACATCCTGGGCCACTGACTCTTCAAACATGTCATTGTGATAAGGGTTTAAAAAAAAAAAGGTAGTGGGACTAACTGAAATGAAAAACAAAAGGACAAATACATGTAGTACCTGGCTCTTGACCGGATGTTAAAGAGAGGGAGACAGACAACCTTTCTAAAGGTCATTCTCTGCTGGGGTCATGGTAGACGGCTGAAAATTGATTCTATATTAATAATTTTTTTTTTTTTGTGGTATGTGCCCCTAGCAAGAACCGAACCCTGGACTTCTCTGGTCCGCAGGTAGACGCTGAACCGCTGAGCCAAACTGGCCAGGGCAATAATGTATTTTTTTATATTACTATTTAGTTACATTTTTTGGGTGTGCCAACAATGTTCTGTAATAGTTCTTAGGAGATACATATCCCACTACTTAGGGGTAATGTATCAAAAACACCCCCTGTTGGCCCAGTAAGTGCGTCACACGGAACCGGGCTTCAATTCCTATCTAGGTATTGAAGAGCAGAAGCAAAATTACGTCTGGAGGAGAATCATGACACTGGTCACAGGTTTTCCTCCTGTGTGCAGCTGGGTGGCCTTCTGTTCACACAGGTGCCTTATCAGACTCTTTCGTTTTAGTGCAAGGATGTCACACCTCTCCTGGTCCTGGCCAGTTACCAGACAAGCACATGACTCAGTGCTGGTCCCTGCTGGGGCGATGCCCGTGGGCACCTGTCAGAGTTAGAGGCACAGTGTGGAGCTCACTACCCACTCAGTATGTGTTGAAAGATCAATTGTGAAATATGATATTGATGGAAAATCAAAGGAAGGATCTGCAGCCCGTCCTTTTCCCAGATTCTCTAAAATCTACACCTGTCAGTCCTGACCAGCAGACGGCTGCCCACTTGGGTTCTTTTTCCCACTGGCTTTATGCTTCTGTCACCCACTGAGACCACACACACCCCATTCCCTGATTACCTGGCTGGAAGACGAAGACTTTTTCCTTTCAGTCTTAGCGTCATTTTTGCTTTCTGATTTACAGTCGTTCTTATCGCTTGCTACAGAGGCACCATCACAACTGGATTTTGACCTGAGGAAAGAAAATCCAGTGAGTCAATAGAATGAGTTTTTTAGAAGAAAAAATTTTAATATGTTTTTATTAATTTTTTTATAGAGAGAGGAAGGGAGAAAGAAATAAAAACACCAGCTGTCTCCTGCACACACCCCACTGGGGATCGAGCGGGCAACCCAGACATGTGCTCTGACCGGGAATCAACTAGGAACTCTCAGTCCATGGGACAGTGCTCAATCCATTGAGCCACACCTGCTAGGCTAGAATGAGCTTTTTATGCTACTCATTAATTTTATTGTAATACATCTTGATTACTATACCATCTCACAAGAAAACCTGCTGTTTTCTTTTCCCTTCTAGATGTCAGTAAGCACTCAGGTGCCCTTGAGGGCTTTACACAGAGTTGTAGGACTAGGATGATGTAGCAGGCTGGGATCTCAAACTGAAGAAAAGGTCATTTGTAGAAGAGAAAAATAACAATCTAGTTGTGAAAATAATTATATCATCTCAAAAGTATTTTAATCAGCATAAAGAGTATAGGAGGCAAATTATTAAACAAAATTGCAGCTATGGTGCAATCAACACTTTTTATTTCAGAAATCTATTCATATCGAACAAGTGTCAGTTAAGTGGGGCATTGTGTTCAAGGCCTTGGGACACACAAGACAGTCTTCACCCTTAAAGAACCTGTGTACAAATCAAACATCTTTTTAAGTCCTCATCACAAGAGAAAAATTTTGTAACAATGTGTGGGGACAGATGTAAGTCAACTAGACTTATGGCAGTGAGCATTTCGCAAGGAATACAAATACTGGGTCATGTGGTATACCTGAAACTAATATAATGTCATGTGGCAATTATACCTCAATAAAAATACATTAAAACTAAAATAAAACTTCTTTGAAAGGCAGTATATGATTTAGCACCAAAACAAAACATATCATAGGCATTAGGAGGAGGTATAGAGACAATCGGTCTGTCAGGAGGAAAGAGAGGAGGCCAACAGAGCAATGTGGGTTTCATACGTGGGGCCTCATAGGATGAGCAGGATTTGGGAGAAGAGAGACGAAACATCTCACAGTGGGAAAACGGTCAAGTGAAATTAGGATAGAAAAAGAACATGCTTGGAAGTCAACCCCAGGATTCCCTTTGAAGTGGTTCTAGCCAAGGCCCTTCACTGAGCAGACTCGTGACTCAGCACATAGCCTCAGCCTGACTCGGCACTGTCATTTCCAAGTGGGACGCAGGTGTGATTTTTAGGGCTGTGTGTGCATAGTTATACAGATGAGTTTCAAATGTCAGATATCTTTGACTAAGGAAAAAAAATAAGTTTTATGATATGACTATGCAGATTTCTTTTGTTTATTGGGGAAAATGACACATGCCAGCCATGATTTCACAATACGATTCCTTAGAATGAGGCACCGTTAAAAAATTTTGGTGCAAAGCTGACTTTAAGGAGAATCTTAAGCTATTTATGGGTGTGACAGAGGGACATTAGGCTCTGTTTTTCTCAGCTGTGAAAAGACATGCTACATAATGTCCCAGGCCCCTGCCAGACTCCATTTGAATCTGTGATGTTCAAACCACATACCGCTCAGCAATTCAAGGGACATTGACTGGATTCAGGAACTGGCCACTGAACCTACTCACAGACAGGAATTTCTTTAGAATTCTAGGGATTACTTTAAAATCATTTTTTCAAATATTAAATTTCCTATTATTTATATTACCTACTAATTTGAATTTATCAACTCTACTGATTCAAATGAACAAATATCAATGGACTTGTCAACGCAACAATCAGACTTTTGAAGAACAATGGACAGGAAGTAAATGTGACAAGTAGGGCCCTATACCCTTGACAACTTCAAGAGGAACAACACAAAGGACCTACGGTCTCTGTGGTGGTGGTGGTGGGGGTGCACATTTAAATAGTATTGATTCCTTCTGGTCTTCTCCACCTTGTTATTCTCACTTCTCACAAGTGCCTATGAGCAGGACTAGTGCACAATGAAAATGCAGGGCCCCTTGTTCAAAACCTAAGAATTTCCCTGCAGCGAGAGCAGAGCCTTAAACCAAGTGCTGAGGTCTTTGCAAGTGCATAGATCACACGCCCTGTGAAGTTTAACAAGCATGCCCTGATGATGAGGGTATTGATCTCATTCAGAGCCTGGGGAAGTTGGAGTAAAATCAACAGTGTTTTAAAAGTGCACGCTGTAGCCAGCCAACAGCGGTGAAAGACACATGCTCAGCGCCTCTGGGGAGGGACCGTCTGGGGATGACACAGGATGCCCGGGCAGGAAGCAGCCACAGAGAACATGGTCGAAGTGAGAGATCGGCTCAGGCATGCAGCACAGATGGAGAGGGTACGGGAGTGACAGAAACATCGTGGGGGGAGAGTGCAGACTTACACTTGGTCCTGCAGGAAGTACAGATGTGGAGAGAAGGTATGGGCTGGGTAGCCAGGAGGGAAGGGAAAGCAGGAGTTATTTAATCATCCTCTAGCAGAGGCCAAAAGACGCAGAGGCGGCAGTTCTGACAGCTCTAACGACCGGGAGGAGAGCGAGCACTCCTCACCTCCTACAGATCAATGGCCACACTGCTCCTACGTGAACATTGGTTTAAACACCCTCTTCGAAGGGCTCAAAAGCCACTCTTCAGTTCCTACTTCTTCCTTCCGTGTGAAGGAAAGCACATGATGTCTCTGAGGGTGATGGAGACATAGCTCCACATCTCAAAACTGTCTGTCCCCCCACAGCCCCACAACCACACTGTGGTCCCAGCACCAGCCCCACAAAATGCCCCCCACGCGTACCCTGCCTGGGGGTCCCAGGCGGGGCTCCCCTGCGCTTTTCCATGGCTGCCAGGGAAGCGAGACAGCAGGTGTGCACACCCAGAGGCTAGGCAGACACTCCAACCTGGGCGGGCCTCACAAGCAACCTGGCCAGCTCTCCCAGGTGCTTTGTAAACCTAGTCCGGAAAGAGGGCCACCCTGGCTTATCAGTGAGCAGAGTCAGTACATCAAATAAAAGGGCAGACGTTCCGCAGAAGGCTGGGGTGGGAAGGAGAAAAAGGTGCTTCTAGGAAGAGATGAGCAAGGAAGGCAAGCGCCCGTGCCGAGAATTCAAGAAAAACACCCCACTGCTTTCTCAGGAGTGTTATTTGTCTATAGACAATCCTCACTCACTCTTTTAACAACCACCATAAAGTTAGAAACACCAGCTCCTCCCAGCAACCCCTCCTCCCCAAAAGGGCAAGAACAGTCAGTGCGAGGACTCACCGCAGGCAGATGACTCTCTTCTGGTCTGGGGACTCGGCCTCGCTGGACGGGGTGGGAGACTGGGCTGTTGGTGACCTGCAGACCTTCTTTTTCTCCTCCACACCATTCTCAGCCTCTGAGCTGGAGAAGAGAGAAAAACGCTTCACCTTAAACATCCAGAGCAGGGGGTGGATGGAAAAAAAAACGGTGAAGTCACCTGGCTTTTTGCAGAGTGGAGTGATCTTCAACCCCCACCACTGGCTGAGGTCAACTTGGGCAGCTGCGCCCTTTCCGAATCTCCATTCTAAGCCCTCTCAGCTGGCTTCAGCGGGTAAACATCTGACTTTGTGGGGACTTGCTGCCTCCCAGCTCTGTTCCCGTGGGCCCTGCTCTGCCCGCTCGCCGCTGGAGTGGCAGAGCACCTGGAGGCTGGGAGGGCCCCTGCGCTGGCTCACCGCCTTCAGCCAGGTGTGAGCCTTCCTGCTGGGCAGCCCCACTGCTTTTGTTTGTACTTCTCCGGTCACTTAATCACCTTTTGTTGTGGTTGTACAGGTCCCCGCTTTGGGTTGTTATTTAAAGCAGGCGCCTCTTTAGGCAAGTTCCAGTCTCATCTGTCTGCAAACCGCCCAGGCCCGTCGGATTACCCCCACGGTATGGATGTGGAATCCGAGACTCTCAGTCAAGATTTTACCCACGCAACCGGAACTAGCATCCGTCTGAGTTGATTCAAATTCGGGTCTGTCCATCTGATAGGCCTTTGTGTGCATGTGTGTTCTCTGTCTCTCCCCATGCACACTCCCTCCCCCCACGCTCTCAACCACCCATCTATCCATCTAGCCCCCTTATTAGCTCTTCAGTGCAAAAGCTCCAGGGTAGGGTGGGAAGCTTACTGATTTTTATACTGAATACGGGATCTAGGATAGAGGTGGTACATAGTCATGATCAACAGGCTTCTGGAAGACCCGTGTTGACCTTGGTAAAGAGGGAAAGGAAGGTCAGTCAAGAGGGTCTGCATGCTGAATCACTGTGGGTGGAGGTCAACCAGTGTGGTAGACTCGGGAGTGTCCCTTCAAACTCAGGAACAGAAGAAACCATTTCCACTGTGGGAAGGAGAGGAAGGCACAAGGGAAGGAAGAAGACGTGTTCCATATAGGGATCAGAACTTCCTTGGTGTCAGCCTGCACTGCAAAGAACTCAACATATTTCTAAGAACGTGAGAGCCCCATGGCGACTAAGCATAAGGGAAGACGCGTTTATTTGGCATTGCCATGACAGTTCAGCTCATTTGAATCCTAATTTAGCATCCCTTTTGCTAACTTCACCTGCAATTGAACACACAGGTAGGAAATGTTATTGGTTAGTTTCAGCTTGGTGGTTGCTGACTTACCACTTTTTACAGCATATGAACATTCCATTGTGGTGTCAAAGTCAAGACCAAGTATCTCTGACAACGTATCCATTATAATCCCCATGCACAGCTGATGCTCTCATGTTGGAGTCAGCATTTCTCTTTTCCTATATTTCTCTTTTCCCAAGTAGATTAAGTGTTTGAGGACAAAGGTCCAACCCTCGACTCTTCAGTTCTTTTCAAAGTACTCAGATCACTTACGTACAATAAAAGGGGTCTATCCGTAACCGAAGTGCTTTATGTGACAAAAGGTACATGGAAAGCCTTGAAATAGTAATAGGACAACACTGCTTTGGTTTTTTTAAAAAAAGATGATTTTGTTAAACTTTAGCATCAAGTTTAGTTTATGGACTCCAATAATTTTAGAACTGTTAAGGGCACTTCCATCATACCTCTGCCCACCCCCCTCCCCCGCACACATAGCACTCCTGTTCTTCAAAAGCTCTGGGCAGAAATCCAGAGGCCCTCCTGAAGCAGGGAGACTGAGTGTGTGTGGAATTCCAGTAATCCACCTCAGCATCCATTCAAACACTCCCTGCATTTCGGGCAGGGTCGGATGAAGACTCGGAAGCAGAGCCACCGCTGTCCCATACAGCACCTTTGTGTGTGTAGAAAGAGCCACCCTCACACATAAAGAAGTGCCTCTCTGTTTGGATGTAGTGCCCCTGATACACAGCCTGGCAGAGACAGGGTGCCCCTTGCTCCAGGCAGAAACAGCCCAGCTCCAAGGTGAAGGGAGCAAAGCTCGGCTGGATTTCCGCCTCTCCCTGCGCTTGCTGCTTAGGGCAGGGCTCGGAGTGCTTCACCACGCGGTGGTCCTGGTTCAGCCCCCACCCCCAGCACTGAAAAGATACAGTGCTCACCTCTGTATCAACCCACCAAAGCAATGCCTCTTTTTTTTTTTTTTAATGTTTTTATTGATTTTTTTAGAGAGAGAGAGAGAGAGGAAGGGAAAGGGAGAGAGAGAAACATTGATGAGAATCAGCTGCCTCCTGCACGCCCCCATCTGGGGATTAAGCCTGCAACCCAGGCATGTGTCCTGACCGGGAATCAAACAGGAGACCCCATGGTGCACGGTTCACGCCACCACTGCGCCACACCGGCTGGGCTGAAGGCATGCCTCTTCAGGACAGAACACGCTGGTCTGCTCCGGTGAAACAGCTTCTTTCTAGATAGTCTCCACCCACTTTCCCTTACACTGGCGCTTGGCCTCCAGCGCTGGTTCTGTCCTTGAGGGGCACGGGTGGAGGGAGGGGCCAGCCCCGCAGCCTTCCGCCCCGCAGTCTTGGCTCTGCTGCTGCCGGCTTTGCGCACCAGGACCCTAATTAATCAACGCCTTGTTCTGTTCATGTTTTTCTCCCAAATGGCTTACTGAAGCCAACTGCTAGACGACATTCCTTAAAAGCAGGGATTCTGTTTTTCTCTCCCCCCACACTGCATTTGGCTCAGCATGTCGCTCACAGTGGTCATTTATGTGTGTTGACCAATGTGGGATTAGTTCCGTAGTGTCTCAAAGAGTTAAGTGAAGTTCATCTACGGACCAACTCACTTTTAGGTTTTTGTTGACTTAACGATGCTGCCGAAACTCAAGCAGGTTAATTCCCCCCACAGGAGAGATTATTCCGCGAGCAAGCGCCCTACACTGGAGGTCTCCGCAGCAGACTGAGACCGCGCAGCAGGGACAGCAGAGCCTGGTTTGCAGCAGAGCGTGGGAGGGCGATGGAATGCCTCCTCGAGAAACCGACAGCGAGCCGAAATAACAGGTCTAGTTCAAATCATGAAAATAAAGAAACCAGTTTTTGTTTTTTTAAACAAGGCCCTTTCAGGGACACTAAAGAGTCAACAAAACTAAAATTAAAAACAAAACAAACCCTCCAAACAGCACTCTTCTTTCAACACACGTGTATGGAGGAGTCCCTGCTTCGGCGGAGCTCAGAGCTGGGCAGGCGAGAGCTTGGTGAGGGGTAAGTCTAAGTAGCCCCAGAAGCAGCGGAAGAGGCTGGGAACACAGGATCCCCCTTTCCCTGGCCACGGCAGGTGGTTTCTTCTCTCATCTCCAACCCAATGTAAGCGCCCATTATGGGCCCCCAAAGCTTTTCAGTAGGAATTTCGGAGCAATGAGACGGATAGTTATGCTTGTACCAACCAAACCTGACGTCTCCTATTAGGGGATGGCATTTTACCAACGAGGAAGTCTTGTTTCACTAAGACACTGTCCACAGTTACACAATCTATAAATACCAACAGGTCAGACAACCCCTATCAACAGTTCAATATCTGTCAATTGCCAGACCTCATCACTCTGATGACAACTTGATTGGGATTTCACCACTGTTCAGAATTAGATTCTTCCATGGGGGCCACTACCATTCCTCCCAGAGAGAGACTGTGTGTTTAAGGTAAACTCAGCACTCTGTCCTCCTGACACAGCGTCTCCCGGCGGCCCGGCCCGCCTGCTGACGATGTGTTGTACTCAGGCATCCTCACACACAAGTCTAATAAGTAGCTACTGGCCACAGTGATGATTCAGCTGCATCTCAGGTTCAGGAAAACAGACGCCTCACTGTGGTTCGGCCCAGGAAGCTGTGCTCCTTTCCAGTGACTGCGGCAAGCACTTTGTATGAGTCTAGCTTCGAGGTAAATGAGTCTAGGCTAAGGCATAAAAAAAGTCACGAAACTCCCTCATGATAGTATGGGGGGTGGTAGTTTTACACCCATTATCATTTTTAAATTTTATTCACTTATTTTTAAAGTCATTTTATTTTATTATTATTATTATTTTTGTTACTCCTCACCTGAGGATATTTTTTCATTGATTTTTAGATAGAGAGGATGGGAGGGGAAGAGGGAGAAAGAGAAACCAATGTGAGAGAGGCACTGGTTGCCTCCCGCACGACCCTGACTGGGGCCAGGGGATCGAACCTGCAACCGACATATGTGCCCTTGACTGGGAATCAAACTATCGATCCTTTCTGTACACAAGCCGATGCTCTAACTGCTGAGCCACACCGGCCAGGGCCATTATCATTTTTTTTTTATCTTCACCCGAGGACACTTTTACATTTATCTTCAGACAGAGTGGGAGGGAGAGAGGGGGGAAGAGAGAAAGAGACATCAATGTGAGAGAGACACGACGACTGCCTGCCACCCATACAACCCCAACTGGACCAGGAACAAACTGCAACCGAAGTACATGCCCTTAGCGGGAACTGAACCTACAACTCTCTAGTCTGCGTGCTGATGCTCTAACTGCTGAGCCAAACCAGCCAGGGCTATCGTTTTTAAAAAAAAATCACTGATCACTAGGCCCTGGCCAGTGTGGTTCAGTGGATTGAGTGATGTCCCATGCGCCAAAAGGTCACCAGTTCAATTCTGGTCAGGGCACATGTCCAGGTTGCTGGCTTTATCCCCAGTAGGGGGGGTGTAGCCAATGGATGTTTTTTTGCATTGATCTTTCTTTCTCTCCCTCTCCCTTCCTCTCTCTCTAAAATCAATAAAAACATTTTAAAAAAGAAAAAAAAAACAAAAACAACAAAACTCACACACACAACCCCCCCTCCCAAACAACTCCTGATAACCATTTCCTAAAACCACAGTCTTGACCAGCAAAAGTTTAGAAGTGACTTAAAAGATCGGATATGTTTCACCAGAGGATCTCCAAGCACAAAATCCTCGCAATGGGATTGTTGTGACTTAGGCCAGGTCTGTGACAGTCCTGTGTTGCCAAAACCCT